AAAAAAAAAAAAAAAAAAAAAAAAAAAAAAAAAAAAATTAAGCATGAAAACACCATCTTCCTTAACTAAAACACAGAATAAGGATAGTCATAAAGCATTGATCGGATACCCAGTCCAAAATTATTAGTCGGGTACCTTCGACCTGCACTATTCATCAATCTTCATGGAGAAACCGATATAAAGTCATTTACCCTGTCTCTTTACCTTATCTCGTCGCCTCAGTCATATTTCATTGCCGCCGCTTACAAGGCGCTGAACTCGTCGGCGTCAATCTTCCCGATGATCGCCCGTAACTTCTCCTCCGTCACGCAAAATCTCGAGATTCTCTAGCGACTAATTGGAGATTGATGCCGACGGGGAAGCTGATTGAGCTCCGTTGTGCATATATCCTCATGTCGAGCCCTAGTTGGAGAAATTGTTTGGAAGCGATTTGTTTTGATCTGATTTTGGGAGATTTGGTTTTCGGAGAATTGGGAGAGATGGCAAGAAATAGTTGGAATCAGATTTTATGGGAGATGCGAGAATAATTAGATTGATTTTGATCCGTTCCACCAATTAATTTTGAAAGAGATTTTCTTGCTCCATCTCAATCGGATTTCACGTTTTAATTTTAAAACATTGTCATATTCCCCTAACTAATGCAGTAAATAAGGAGATTCAGCCGCAATATAGAATCAAAATTTTAAATCACAAATTCGAAATGCACATTTTAAAGCTTTGCCAAAATGGGTAAGTCAATAATGTTGACTGCGAATTTTTTAAAACTTTCCCAAAAAGATTTATTGACCTCTCTTTTTCAATATATATAGATGCTTGTGAACAGAAGAAAAAAAAAATTACAAATGTGTAGATAACTAGATAAGGCATGGTATCCCAAAAAATCTGTTTCTCTTCCTTAAAAAAGACATCATCATACCTATTTGATTCTAACCTATAATAATTGGTATTTTTTAAATAATAAAAAAAAGGTATGGTTTGTATACTTTTTAAATAGTATATCTAGAATATTGGGTGGAAAAAGAAAGATAGGAAGAATGTTCCGTAGCATCATACCTATTTTATTCACAACTATATCAATAATGAGTATAGTTTTTAAATAATAAAAAAAAAGGTATGATTTCTACACCTTTTAAATATTATATACTATATCATTATCCTAATTGATTCTCAACTATAATAATTAGTATATTTTTTAAATAATAAAAAAAAGTATGGTTTGTATACCTTTTTAATGTATATACACTATTATCTGATTTGATTCTAAACTATAAATAGTATTTTTTAAACAATAAAAGAAGGTATGATTTTTATACCTTTTAAATATTATATACTATTACGCGAATGAGACTTTTTGTGTAAAAAGGAAGAGAGAAAAATAAAATGGAGCGTTGTGTTGAAGGCGTGTACAGACTTGATGCTGCAGTGCCGCTGCACACAGCGTCAAAAGAGCTCAATTGATAGGTTGTGCTGATTTATTATTACTAGTATAGTGTTCGTGTACTACACGGGTGTTTCATAAAAACCTAATTGTCCAATAAAAAATAAAAAATAAAATTGTAATTCTTATTGTGAAACATAAAAAGTACTACAAATAATTAATATAAAAGTAAATTTTTTTAATATTATTTCGAATTCTAAAAAATATATTTTATGAAGTATGATTTGTTTTATTTAATATGTATCCATTTTGTCAAAATTAAATATAATAATTAATTTATTCGGCAGTAAATATATTAAAAAATTGCTACTTTTTAAATAATAAAAAAAAGTATGATTTGTATACTTTTTAAATAGTATATGTAGAATATTGGCTGGAAAAAAGAAAGATATGAAAGAATGTTCTCTACCATCATACCTATTTGTTTCTCAACTATAAATAAGTAGTGTAATTTTTAAATAATAAAAAAGGTATGGTTTCTATACCTTTTAATGTTATATACTATAATATTATTCTATTTGATTCTCAACTTTAATAATTACTATATTTTTTAAATAATAAAAAAAAGATATGGTTTGTGTAGCTTTTAAATATTATATACTATATGATTGAATTGTGAATTTGAATGATTGGATGATGCTTTTAATTCATGAATATATGATCCTTTGTGGGCTTTCGAGCCTTATTTTTGTTGTTGAGTGTATCGTTCATTGTTGTTGGAATTCTAGAACTTGCATTGATATCTTTATCGAGACCACATGGTATGTGCTTTTTGTGAAAATGATCTAAGGCATATTTTTGTTTGAGCCTTTTTGACCTTTTTAGTTCACTAAATGATATTTTTAATTCCTAGTTTATCCTTTTGAGCTTTTGCCCATTTTCTTTGAATGTCACATATTGAGCTACATCTATATTTTTTCTTGTCCTTACTTGAGCATTTAGGATTATATCATGTAAAAGGGATGAATGTATTGTTTGTGGTGTGGATAAAGGGAAGACGTGAATGGAGATGTAATTTGATGGAGTAAGTTGAATGAGTTTGATAATGTCGAAGTAAAATAAAAAGGAAGAAAAAAAACTGAAAAAATGAGAAAAAAATCAGAAAAGAAGAGAAAAAAAACTGAAAAAATGAGAAAAAAATCAGAAAAGAAGAGAAAAAAAATGAATAAATATGTATAGTTGCTTATTTTTTAGCATTGACTCAAATAAAGACGGTTTGGTTGGATGTTGGAGCTTCTTATATGGCTTGAGAGTATTGATCGAAATGTTGTATGAAATGATTTTGTTGGGCTTGATCTTGATTGGTAGGTAATGAATTTGTGTAGTTCATGTTTTATAGTTCTAGATGCTCAAGTTTTCGTCACTTTATGAGTTGTAATATTTACATAGAAATTATTTTTTTTTTTAACATTATTTAGAATAAACAGTTTTTGTATATAATTATGTGGTAAATATTTAAGATAATATTTATATTTTAAAAATATTTTAATTNTGGTTGATAAGGCATGCTATCCCAAAAAATCGGTTTCTCTCCCTTGTTGTGCTATTTTTTCTTTTACAATGCTTGTGAACTGAAGGAAAAAAAAAATTTACAAATGCGTAGATGACTAGATAAGGCATGGTATCCCAAAAAATATGTTTCTCTTCCTTAAAAGACATCATCATACCTATTTGATTCTAACCTATAATAATTGGTATTTTTTTAATAATAAAAAAAGGTATGGTTTGTATACCTTTTTAATATTATATAATATATACTATTATCTAATTTGATTCTACACTATAAATAGTATTTTTCAAACAATAAAAGAAGGTATGATTTTTATACCTTTTAAATATTATATACTATTACGCGAATGAGACTTTTTGTGTAAAAAGGAAGAGAGAAAAATAAAATTGAGCGTTGTGTTGAAGGCGTGTACTGACCTGAGGCTGCTGTGCCGCTGCACACAACGTCAAAAGAGCTCAATTGATAGGTTGTGCTTATATAATATTATTACTAGTATAGCGTCCGTGTACTACACGGGTGTTTCATAAACAACTAATTGTCCAATAAAAAATAAAAAAGAATTGTAATTCTTATTGTGAAACATAAAAAAGACTACACATAATTAATATAAAAGTAAATTTTTTTAATATTATTTTGAATTCTAGAAAATATATTTTATGAAGTATGATTTGTTTCATTTAATATGTATCCATTTTGTCAAAATTAAATATAATAATTAATTTATTCGGCAGTAAATATAATAAAAAATTGGTATTTTTTAAATAATAAAAAAAAGTATGATTTGTATACTTTTTAAATAGTATATGTAGAATATTGGTGAAAAAAAGAAAGATAGGAAAGAATGTTCTCTACCATCATACCTATTTGATTCTCAACTATAATAAGTAGTGTAATTAGTATATTTTTTAAATAACAAAAAAGGGTATGGTTTGTATACCTTTTAAATTATATACTATATGATTGAATTGTGAATTTGAATGATTGGTTGATGCTTTTAACTCATGAATATATGATCCTTTGTGGGCTTTCAAGCCTTATTTTTGTTGTTGAGTGTATCGTTCATTGTTGTTGGAATTCTAGAACTTGCATTGTCTTTATCGAGACTACATGGTGTGTACTTTTTGTGAAAATGATCTAAGGCATATTTTTGTTTGAGCCTTTTTTACCTTTTTAGTTCACTAAATGATATTTTTAATTCCTAGTTTATCCTTTTGAGCTTTTGCCCATTTTCTTTGAATGTCACATATTGAGCTACATCTATATTTTTTCTTGTCCTTACTTGAGCATTTAGGATTATATCATGTAAAAGGGATGAATGTATTGTTTGTGGTGTGGATAAAGGGAAGACGTGAATGGGGGTGTAATTTGATGGAGTAAGTTGAATGAGGTTGATAATGTCCAAGTGTAAAAAGAAGACCCCAACAGGGTAAAACACCCGGGCAAGTGTCGGATCCCAACAGGGTAAAAAGAAGACCCCAACAGGGTAAAACACAAGCACAACTAACAAACTACACAGACCCCAACAGAGTAATGTCCAAGTGTCGGATCCCAACAGGATAATAATGTGACACCCGGGCAAACTGAGGCCAACGGCCCAGACCAAAAACACAACGACCACACAACCTAAATAACCAACTAAAACACAGATCTACCAAACAAAACAAAACAAAAGCAACAAAACTAATCGAGCCCTTCCAAAGAATTTCGTGTTGGCGTTTATTTTTATTTTTTAGTTTGAATATGTTTGTTTT